AGTGTGCAGTGGAGGGTACTGACCTCAGTGGTCAGTGTGCAGTGGAGGGTACTTAACTCAGTTGTCAGTGTGCAGTGGAGGGTACTGACCTCAGTTGTCAGTGTGTGGTGGAGGGTACTGACCTCATTGTCAGTGTGTGGTGGAGATGCTTACCTCATGGCCGACAGGAAGCAGAGAGAGGAGTACAGGAAGCGGCCAGGGCAGCACCCCAAGTATGAGCTGCCAGTGCTCTAGTGCCCTCAGCTATGCCCCGCTTCCTGCTTTCTCCCTCCACCCCAAATCCCATCAGACCGTGACTCTATCAAGTGAGCAATCCATTGATTTTGCCAGAGGCCTCAGGATCCAGCCACTTCCAAAAAGCCAGTCAGCTGATTATCGAGCCCAAGTGCACGAGCCTGTGGGAAGCAGTTCCTAATAGCTTGAGGAAGTTCCGTCTCTGCCTAGCAGGGAGACGGCAATCATCAAAACCTCAGTTCTTTCAAATGGATCTGAAAACACTGCTCTTATTCCCCGGGGGAATTCAGGACAGCGTATTTCTCTGAGATGACCTTTCTGTGTCCGAGAATATCCCCATCGTCCAGCCCCTGCTCTTCTGTGTTCAGCTCCAAGCTGCCTTCCTAGTGCTGAACCAGACTTAAGGGCCACGGTGCTCAGGGCCACTGGTGGCCGGTGGTGGCCTGGGGAAAGGGTTTAGTGCTTACTCCTGTGGTGGTACTGTGTTCCCCCAAATATTGTGTACCTTAATAAACTTATCTGGGGTCAGAGAACAGAAAAGCCACTAGATACTTAAGATAGGCAGTGGTAGCACACGCCTTTATTCCTAGCATTCCAGAGACAGAAATCCATGTGTTCAAGGATACAGACAGGCATGGTGACTCATCATGCCTTTAATCTCAGAAAGCAAGCCTTTAATCCCAGGGAGTGGTGGTAGACAGCAGAAAGGTATATAAGGCGTGAGGACCAGAAACTAGAAGCATGTGGCTGGTTAAGCATTTGGCTGGTTAAGCTTCAGGCTTTTGAGCAACACAGTTCAGCTGAGATTCATTCTGGATGAGGACTCAGAGGCTTCTAGTCTAAGGAAACAAGACAAGCTGAGGAATTGGCAAGGTGAGATAGCTGTGGCTTGTTCTGCATCTGATCTACCAGCATGGACCCCAATAACTGGCCTCAGGTTTGATCTTATTAATAAGAACTTTTTAAGATTCATGCTACATACTCCTCACTCTGCCATTGTGTTGTGACCGTAACAAACTGGTCCTCTAAGCCTCTGAACCTTCACCCTGACACTAGCCACCTATTTGAAATTGTCTGTGTCTTAGTCACTGTCCTGTTGCTATAAAGAGACACCAGGACCAAGGCGACGCTTATAAAAGAAAGCCTGTAATTGGGGGCTCACTTACAGTTTCAGAGGGTAAGTCCATTATCATCGTGACAGACAGCATGGCAGTAGGCAGGCAGGCATGGTGCTGGAGAAGCAGTTGAGCGCTACATCCTGATCTTCAGGCAGAAAGAGAGACTGGGCCTTTTGAAAGCTCAAAGCCCACCCCCAGTGACACACTTCCTCCAACAAGGCCACACCTCCTAATCCTTCTAATTCTTTCAATTAGTGCCACCCCCTGGTGACTAAGCATTTAAATCTATGAGGCTATAGGGACCTTTCTCACTCAAGCCACTGCAGTTTGTGGAAACACCCTTAGTAAGTCAATGATTATAAAGCACATACTCAGTGCAAGTCTCAGGGCGTGATAACTGGACAACAAATGCATGGAGCACTCCAGGGACCGACAAGGGAAGGGAGAACAAGGAAATGACCCATTTTACAGGAGAAAGATGAAGATCCTTAGCTGGGAGCTGCCCGTGAGGTGAGGGAGGTCTGTAAAGAACGGGGAGCCGGTTTCCTCCTGGCCCTCTCTGTCCTCAGGTACATGACGATGCCCCTGTTCTTCCTGGGCCTGGGAGACAGCACATTTGAGGCTGGCTCTGAGCGGAGAAGCACAGAAATAACATCCAGGGAGGACCACAGATCAGGCTGGATTCAAGTAGAGAGGTCGCTGGGGATGGAGAGGTGACCCAGACCTGAGACAGTGTGCATCCACCCAGGACACAGGGTGCAGCCGCTGTGGGACTGGGGCAGCCCTCTGGGCACGAGTCTGAGCATTCACTCAGCTGATACTTGTTCCCGTGTGTCAGGCGTGATCCTCAGGCCCGCTGGCAGCTGGTAGGCTGGCCCTCTAGGTGCTGGCTTAGCCAGGGGCACTGGCCTAGCTGCAGTACCTCTGCCTCGCAGACCCTCATCACTGCTGTGGGGCAGACAGTCTACACGGTGGCCTCGGTGCTGACCCTCCTCTTCGTGCTCATGTACATCTTCGCTATCCTGGGATTCTGCCTGTTTGGAATGCCAGAGAAGGGCGACCTGAATAACTGGGGGAACCTGGCTGCGGCTTTCTTCACTCTCTTCAGTCTGGCTACGGTACCGTGTCTGGGCACTGTGGGGAGGGAGGAACCTGGAGAGGGACTGTCTAGGAAGGGTGAGCGTGTGGACATGCTGGGCCTCTTGTGGGACCTTCCCCATGTTCAGGTGCTTATTAGCGGGCACAGAAAACTGGGACTGGCATGCTGGGACTGGTCAGAGCCCAGTGTGCTCCATTTTTGTCTCTAACCCCATGACTTTATAAATCATGCCATGTGTTGCACAGGGTAATAAAACTCGCTAGAATTCTCTAATGATACTTAATTTGGATTAACCTTAAGTTATAAATGAAGCCCACAGCATACAGCTTTAAAAAAGTAAGCTGTCACAAATTCACCCAGAATAAGCAAAGCCCAAGTCTCAAAGTCTAGACTTTTGAATTATGTAAAGGGTGGCATTTAAAAAAAAAACACTTTGTTTTGTTTTTATTTTTTCCAAAGATGGGCCTGGAAATAGGCTGTGCATTTTAGGAGAAAATGGGAGGTCTTGAGAGGAGAGACTCCCTTAGGCACGTTGGCTCCCAACTGGCGGTACCCCACATTTCTGTGTATGGAGGACGCGGTGGGTGGGGCGGTGCCGAAGGACTGATGTGGAGACTGAGTTGGCAGCGCCTCAGTGGGTCTGGTGCTCCTCTGGCATAGGTGACATGGAAATGTACTCTGCCAGGTCTCGGTGCTCAGTATACCCTGCCTTGCCTGACCAGGTTGATGGCTGGACAGACCTGCAGGAACAGCTGGACCAGCGGAAGTTTACTGTGAGCCGGGCATTCACCATCCTCTTCATCTTGCTTGCTTCCTTCATCTTCCTCAACATGTTTGTGGGTGTAATGATCATGCACACAGAGGTGAGGCTGTGCCTGCAGTGTGCACGTGTGTGTGTGTGTGTGTGTGTGTGTGTGTGTGTGTGTGTGTGTGTGCCTGTGTGTGCACGCACATGTGGTGCTCAGGTTAGGTGTGGTAGGTAGAGATGTGGGCCAGGTTTCCTGGACAAGCTGGGTTTGTGTCTGTCTTATGAAGTGTTGTGGAGGTAGTCAGATGGCCCCTCTCGTGTGTGCCTGATTCTTCTCCTTATGTTCATCACCACGTGATGGGGGCTGGCAGGCCAGGAGAGCTTAGGAAACCGTTGCAGCTGTGGGTGATAACTTGAGTTGGGGGCTGGCCTGCGTCGGGTGGGCCTTTCTGCCGAGGTCTGAGCTCCAGGGCGAGCCAGGCAAGGAGAAAGGCTGGCAATGGAAAGGGTACGGAAGAGAGAGCATGATCTTAGCTCGTCTATTCTGCCTTGCTAGGACTCCATCAAAAAGTTTCAGCGGGAGCTGATGGTAGAGAGGCATGTGACACTTATGGAGGAGAAGCAGATGATTCTGAGGCGCCAGCAAGAGGAGGTCAACAAGCTGGTGAACATGCAGGTAGGTGAGTCCACTGGAGAGATGACAGACCGACAGACAGACAGTGGAATGGCCAGGAGGAAGAGCTTTGGACTCAAGCAGAGGTCAGGTGGGGTCAGGCACATGTGGTTTTTGGTAAGGCAGGCCTCTTGCCCTGCAGCCACGAGAGCCATGCTTTCTTCCGGTGTTGTGTGTTTCCCTGAACTATTTGGACTGTTGAGTATTGTAGTTAGTTCTAACGCCCCCTCTTTGGTGGATGGTTCTCCACGGTGGGGTCCTTCCTGCTGGACTGGTACCAGGCAGCTCGACCCCAGGCCGCTGGATGGCTGAGGATGGGATGCTCTGTCAGGGTGTCACTCAACCTCTAAACCCACACCCCTAAAATCAGGACAAGAATAAGCACAAGGGGCTGGAAGTCTGTTAAGCATGGCACCACTTACAGCTTGCACTCCTCTGTCTTGTGTTCTTGGTCTAACCTGGGGGCCCTGCTGGGTCCCTCATTGTCAGAGTGTCTCTTTTCTGAGGGGGAGATGCCTGCCAGTCTAGCTATGTCCAAGATTCGTTCAGGGTTGGAGGAGGTCACATAGAATCACCATTAGACGCTCTCTTGTTCCTTTAGACCTTGGCCTCGCACCAGGGATGGTGAACCATGAGACGGTTCCATTCTTACGGGCTTCGGCTCAGTGGTCAGGCTGAACTTGTGACTTAGGATCCACAGGGTTCCCAGGTCTCTGCAGCTCCCCTGCTGTCATCATTGGTCCCTCATTGCTTCCCTCTCCAGGAAAGCGGTGGCAAGAGCTTCACTGAGATGGTGGAGGAATTCAAGAAGACCCTGCGGCACACGGACCCCATGGTCCTGGATGAATTTGGCACTAGCCTGCCCTTCATCGATGTCTACTTGTCCACTCTGGATAACCAGGACACTACTATCAACAAGTGAGTTACTGGTCCCCATGGCTTCTTTAAGGCCAGGGCATGCTGTAGACTCCAGGAGATTGAAGGGTTGGTGGCCAAGGTGTAGGGTGGATGGGTACACGAAGGCCCTTCCTGGGAGTGTAGGATCCCATAGATGCCTGGATGCTGGGCTGTTGTGTGCGTGGGTCTGCGGTGGAAGGGACTCTGTTCTGCTGGCCCTCCCAACTCTCTTTCATCTGTATCCAGATGTTAGCTTTCTTCATCCCTTCAGGCCCCTGCTCACTAACACTTTCCAGGGAGCAGGGAATGTGTGTGTGTGTGTGTGTGTGTGTGTGTGTGTGTGTGTGTG